CTACGGAGAACTGGAAAAGAAGGTACATTTGGGTTTCCATATGGATATTGTACATATGTCCCCTGCAAAATCATAAGATATTAGAGAAGAGTTTTTGCATGTTTGATGGGTCATCTGTGAAGGGTTTATGCCAGGACATGGCAAAGTATCACCCAAAATGAAGAAGCATATGTGGGTTGTGTTAATCACTGGGAGAAGGAGTACCCATGATAGTGAGATCACAGGACTATAGAAATATTGATGGATATTTCAAGCCAAGTATACCACCTCCCCACTCCTGTCCTTGGGGTGATGCTGAGGAGAGAAGGGCTAGCAATGGGCCACCTGCCAATTTGACGGTTGTGAATGCTAATGGAACGAAGGGAAATGGAATACGAAAGCAAAATGAAGTCAGACTAGGAGTTGGGCATGTCATTTCCAAATAAACGTTTCATGCAAAAGAATTGAGTCTTTTCAGAGCTGAAAATGGAGTCTTTAAATAAGATAAAATAAAAGCATTGCCTTAGCTTGTTCCAGGTTCTGTAATGAAATACAGTTTTCCTAATATCCTGTGACCTGAATTTCTCCCTGCTTTATGGATACTATTCCTTGATGTACAAACCTGTATTTTCTCCAGTCAGCATTCCATGATGGCTGTCAAAATACAGGCCATGTATTATGCATATAGCATTACCGATTTAAGGTGTTTACTTGTCAAGTTGAAGAAATTCAAAAACGTCATATTCACTGAATCCGCATGGCTGTCACTGGGAGTTTTTCATACCTTTGAATGAAACTTTTGATGAAAACAGTTCAGGTTTTCCCTTCACTTTTCCAGATGAGGGAAACAGAGAGCATTTTAAATCCATGTTCTGGGTTATACAATTGGCTGAAAACGTGTGTTTTTCTCGAGTTTAGAAGGATGGACACTGAAGCTCTCCCTAGTTTCCTCAACAAAGATGCCATGCTGTCTTTCAGAAAGGGAACTCACTGTGTTCAAAGTACATTCAGGTAAAAATTAAAATGAGGTGCAATCAGGAAAAGAAAATTAAGTAAAACCAAGGGTTTTTTTTTTCCTTCTGAAAGTATGAAAGTTATGCCCAGGAGAAAGAAAAAGTAAGATCTTTCCATTTTGTGGTGTAGGGGATAGAGTAACAGACTTAGATCTGGAAGGCCTGAGTACAAATCACACTTATTAGCTGTGTGAACCTGGGCATGAAATTTCATAAGCTCTAAATTGTTAATTAAATATTAGCTATTTTTACTGGTATTATTGTTGTTGTTATTATTATTGTTATCCTTATTATTTACTTCAGTTCATGGCTTTTGTGCTACAAGAACAAAATGTAATACTTCAGCCCTGGAAATTCTTTTCTTTAGCCTCAGTTTCTTTATTTGAAACATGAAGAGATGGACTCAGTCTATATGATTTGTTCTAGGCCTGGGGGACTATGATTTCCATAAAGCTCCAGATATCTAAAAATGCCAACCTCATCTTTATCTCATTATGTCACCTTGGAAAGACAATTTGGCAAAAACAGAGAGCTAGTGATAAAATAACCTTCTGGGTACATATGAAGTTGATTTATCCGGAGGCAGCTCATGCTAGGTGTTTAGTTCTTTGTCCTGGGCACCTGGGAAAATAGCAAGTGACCTCTCATTCCCAAGTATCTAGTTCATCAGTTATTTTATGCAGCAATCTACTATGGAGATGGGTAGGGAGACACACAAAGTTAATGCAAACTCTGCCATCATACCTGCTCTCTGTGTGAATGGGAGCAAATCAGCACTTGCTGAATTAAGCTAATAGTAACATTTACCATATGCTGCCCTCTGCAAAAGTAATTTCAGCTGAATAAAAATTGTTCCTGCCTTGCTTAGTAATTACTCTAAGAAATTATCAAAGTCACATGAGATGGTCATTCGGCTTTCCTAGTAGCCTAAAGATTTTCTCATTTTTCTTGTATGCATATACTTCACATAACCCTGATCTATATTTATGCAAACATGTATACTCAATATTAATGATTGAAACCCACAGTGTCAACAAGGAATTAAAAAGGCAGAAATTAAACTGGCTACCTTACAAATTGGTTGTGCCCGGAAACCCACCAGACAAAGTCAGTGTGTATAAGAGTTCACTGTAGGTTTGGGTAGCAAAATGGATTGTTAGTACCTATCTCAAACCCTTCAGGGTAGTCAACATGATTTTTTAAAAAGGAAGAAAGAAGAGAGAAAGAAAACAGGGTGTGGGAAAGGAAGAAAGTGTGGGGAAAGGAGAGGAGGAAGAAAGGAGAAAGATGAGAAGAAAGAAAAGAAGAGAATAAAATAAAGAAGCATAAAGAAAGTAGAGGGAAGAAATGACAAATAGATGAAAGGAAGGAGAAAAGAAAAAGGAAAGGAAAAGGAGAGGAGAGGGCATGGAAGCAAATAAAGAATGGGAATAGGAAAGGAAAGGAAGAAATAGAGGGAAGAAAGGGGTTAGAAATAAAGAGGGAAGGAGAAGAATGGAAAGAGAAACAATTAAATGAAAGTTTGTTCGTGAAATGCAAATAAGAGTGCCAATGTCAAAAACAGATGTATGGTTGATGATCTCACTTGTTGATTCAACAATAGCTCATGAATGATATTCTTTCAGTTGACATTCTAATACCCAAGAATCCTCTTGGATGGAAGAATCAGGATCTGAAAAGACCTCAAAAGGCTAGAAGAGTAGGCTAAAGCTTTGATAATATTTATTTTTTAATTATTCATTAACAGATTTGCTCCTTATCTGTGATTTCACTCCTATGTGAAATGCCTGGTGAAGAAATCATTCCTTTGTGTCTTATAGTTTATAGAAAATTGCCTGGGACATTGAGAAGGAAAGGAACTTCTATGGTAACCTGGCATACATATGACCTAGAGAGACAAGACTTAACACAAGTTTTTCTGATTCCAGGGACATATTCAATCCACTATGTCACACTGCCTCTATATTTGATAAGGATAAATATATTATCTCGATCTTGGTTTTAAAACAACTGGCCATTGACCTAAGAATCAAGAGACCTGAATACTACTTATAGTTTTGCTAATACCCCATCACTGTCGGGCTTCTGACTTCACAAACTATGCCACTTTGGGGAAAGTCACATCACCATTCTTTACCACCCTTTTCTCATCTGTATTGTGAGGAGGGTGGAATAGATAATTTTAAAAGTCTTTTAGAAAGTCAATCATCCTACATAAATGAAAATTACCATAGTAAAAAGGGAGGGGGGAGCATTCACTAATTCTAGATGAGAAAAGATTTTCTGCTTAAGAGAAGAAATAAAGATCAGATAGCCATAGTGGAGCACAAAATAAATTTGAATTTGCTATATACTTATAGGATTTGGCCAGGAAATCATTAGTGTAAAAATGACTCAGGGGATCTGGGTGTAGTGTCAAGTCAAGTCAAGATATGAAGAGCATTGTGACCTAGTGGCCAAACAGTAAACGTAATCTTAGGTAATCTATGGAACAAGGGAAATGTGCCCTGCCCAGGTCTGGAATATAGATACCATATTTTAGGAAGAATTTTTGACAAACTGGAGAAAGTTCATAGGAGTCCAATTAGAATGATGAGGGGACTTGAAATTGTATTATGTATGCATTGGTTGAAAGAACTAAAGATAGTTAGCCTGGAGGTAAGGCAACTTGGGGAAAATATAACCAACTTTAAATATATGAAGTATTGCCATGTAAAAGAGGTATTGTAATTTGCTTGATTCCCAAAGGTAAACTAGGATGAGTAGGCAGAAATTGTAGGAAGGCAATTTTCAGCTACATATTGGATGAGGAAAACTTTTACTGACAATTGAAACTGTCCAAAACTGGAATAGACTACCTCATGAGGTCGTGAGCTTTACATCATTGGGAGTCTCTAAGGAGAACCTAGATGACCATTTCTTGTGATATCGTAGGAGAGATTCACAATATTCTGTCTGACTCTAGGATTCTAGAATTCTCTTAGCTTATCCACCTCCCATGCCTAGGGAAACATTTATTTTATTTTATTTTATTTTAATCAACACTAGGGCTTTTCAATAGCATTTCCAGACAATTACACTGATTGCTTTAGTGTAATCAATTGGTTTCATAGCAGCTTTCTATGAAGCCCTATCAGAAGTCAGTTGTTTCCCAGAATTGTATCAGAAGTCAATTAAAATTGTCTGTGTCTCTATCCTTTAAAAACTATTCCTTAGAGGAGACCATGGATGTGCTTATTTTTTGTCACTCAAATTTGTATTAACCTGTAATTACTCATTAGCTACCTTGGGTTTTCACTAAATAATTAACTCCTCTAAATATAACTCCTCATGTTCTAATTCTTCCTAAGTCTCCTCTCTTTCTTGTCTTCCAGGGTTCACACCACCAGGAATGGACAGGTCATCCCCAGACAACAGTCCAGTCCACGGGATGTTACGTCAGCCATCCATCACAACTGGGGTCAATATCCCTATCATCACTGAGCTAGGTAAGGAGGTGAATTTACAACCTGTTTTTCTCTTCCTCCTTCATATGGGGAAGGAGGAGACATGCCCACTCTCATGCCTTCTCTCTTTTTGGAAAACAGCCCACCATGAATATAGACAGTGTGAATACATGAGAAAGCTATGTGACATGTTGGTACTGGGGGACTGGTGGAAGGCTGAGAAAACTTTCATTTTTAATAAAGGCTGGATTCCAGCTTCCTTCCAATTGGAAGCTGTTCCTGAAAGTACAGCAGAGGAGGATTTTTAGTGATGAATTCTATCCCATTTTCTATAATGGTTTACTAAGCTAGCCTTAGCCACTAGGGAACACCTCTTCTGGGTATCATAGTAATGAAGTAATGAAGGTAGATTCTCCCACCTTTGTATGAAATTTAAGATCATCCAGTCATGGAAACTGGGTGAGTTGGAGAAGCAGGCTGATTGTTCCCACGGATAACTGACTACAATTTAATCCCTCCATGCAAGCTAAGGCTATATTTCATGCCACTGTGCCCCAATGGATTCTAGAATTTTAAGGAGTAAGACCTTGGACTATCTGGATGTGGCATTTAAATGAGCTACTACTGAGCTCTGGGTGGCCAAAGGCAAACTAGCAAAATCATTGAATTGTTCCCCAACCCTGCCCCACACATTGCAAATACAATTGGGGATCCTTTGTCCTTTTCCTTTAGTACTTTATCTCTCTGACTCCCTCCCTTTTCTCTGTCTCTGTACTTTCTTTTCCCTCCCCTTCCCCATCCTAAATTGTTATACCCTATTAGCGAAGCCTGGCAAACTTCTGCCTTTGGTTTCAATCAATCAGGAAAAAAACAGTGGGACGCACATTCTCATGATAACCGAACTGGGTAAGAAGTACCGTTTGCCTTCACGTCGCTGTCTTGTTCTATCTTTGGTGCTCCAGCCCTCATCAGCTTGTTCTTTCTTTCTCTGGCTGTAACAGAGAGGCTACCCTCATGGCGCTGCTTTGAATGTGTTTTATTTGCGGCTCTGGTTGGAATCAACTGTCTCGCTCTGGCCTTTCTTAATGATTTTCCTTTTTTTTTCTCCCACCCAGCATCTGTAAACCTTTGATCACACCCTGCTGACCTGGCAGCTGTTTCCATAGCATCTTCCCACCAATTCATTTTCTTTGGCCTGGGCCTTTTTTTTTCCCTAGCACATCTCCCTGCCCTCCCTTCTCCTCCCTCCTCCACCTCTCCCCCTACCCTTTTCTCTTTTATTTTCTTCTTCCAACCCTGTGTCAGCTTGACTGACATATCTTCACAGCTCTCATAGGAAGTCAAAGAAGAAATATAAAAATTTCAAAATACAAAACCCAAGATTGTGCCTTCCCTCCAGCTGTTTATTTTCCTTTGTTCTGACTTTATTCGCCTCTTGCACTAGGCCTTGTTTCAGATGCCCAGGTTTGGAGGCTTCCAAAGCAGTCGAACTCTGAGGAGACACCTTCTTCCTAAAGCCAGCTTATGAGAGGAGTTGAAAGTGTTAGATTAGCCAACCACCAGGGCATAGCACTGCCCCAGTGCTCTGACCCCATCTGGTCCATAGACCTTTCTGGAAAATTCAGAATAGAGTCTCATCAGGAAGATAGAAGTATGAAGCCACAACTAAATTGTTCATATATGATTCCCCATGACTTGGTCAATGACACTGTGGACCCAGATGAGTAATAGTAGGTGTCAGAATGGGGGATTGGTCTTATGAACCAGACAGAGTCAGTAAAAGTGCTGGGGAAAGTACCTGCTTCAAATGGCAAATGAAACTCACAATCCATTTTCTTGGCCCCCCAATATATTTCAGAACAAGAGAGCTTTTAACACAGTAATCTTGCTTGTGAGATGTCCAGAAGCCGAGGAATAAATTGTCAGCCATTCAGCACTGCATTATTGTAGATGTGACTATTTATCAGAACGAAACTCTCTCAGGTCAAAAGTAAAGTATCTCTGTTCTGTGTCTGCAACTGTGGGATAGATGTCGTCTAATATTTATAGAATTTTCCTGAGAACTTCAGTTTTTGAATTGTCTGCCACATACTCTCAGGGCTGTAAGCCTCAAGAGGTCAGAGGGTCCAAGCCTCTGTCCTAGGAGAAAGACCCCCACCCCAGGTAAGGGATGGGCTTGCCAGCCAGTCTCTAAAGATCTGGTTCAAAATGATTCTATCTCTCTCAACCTGTAATGGTGTTTCTCAGTCTTCATGATCAGTAATTACTCTTTATATCCACAACATCTCATGTGCCAGAGTTGAAGTCCATTTCTCTTTGTTTTAGCCATAATAATGCCTGACATTTCTGTAAAGTGTACAGAAATCTTAACAGTTTACAAAGTGCTGTCACGGCCATTATCTCATTCAATTCTCATGGCAAGCCTGTGAGATAGGTAATCCACATAGTCTCATCCCCATTTAACAGATGACAAAACTGAGCCTCAGAGAGCTTAAATGACCTGCTGAAGGTCCCAGAGTTAATAAATGACAGGCAAGACTTGAACCCAAGTCTGGTGACTCCATGTCAAATGCCCATATCACTTCCACCATCCTCGGTAGGAAGGTTACCACTTTTATGTCATTATGCTTTGTATATTTGAAAATTATTATTTAACCCCCCTTCAACCTTCTCTTCATGAAGTTATTGCTCCAAAACCAATTAAATTTATTAAGAGCCTGCTATGTGCTAAGAATACTGTTTTAGCTTTTCTTTAGAAATCCTATTTTCAAGTATTTAAAACTCCCCAAATCTCTCCTCTGACAATTTCCCAGCCTCAACTTTTTTCTATATCCCTTTAAAATTGTTGAATTGGGTATAGGGTTTCATTTCAAACCTGCTCAGTCCTTTGTAACTCTTTTTAATGACTTAAATATTCCAACATGCCATAAGAGAAGAGTCAGCCATAGGGTCATTCATCTTCATTAATGATTTCTCTCTATAAACCCAGTATTTCCTTCTCCTTAGAACCCAGCAGTGCCTGCTGCCCATTTTCTAGGTAAATACGGAATAGCCAGTAACCTTTCAGGGTGCTCACATTCAAATGATGATTTTCTTTTCATTAAATTTATCACACTTATTTGTGAGCTGCTGTTATAAAAAAATTTGAGTTATACTTTTCAAAAATAGATAATAAAGTATCCTTAGTCAGAAGCTCACATTTTCTCTTCAATGGAGCTATAACTAGGGCAAGGTGACTGGGACCTTGCCCTGGGTATGAGAATTCAGAGGACGCTAACAGTACTTACAAATTATAAAACAGCTTAGTTTAGCATTTAGATAGTTAAAATGACATCCTACCAAATGACATTCTTCCTTCCTCTGGTAGTCACACTTGAGGTGAGCTTCTCCCTTCTTTGATCATGTCCTGTTTCCTCATTGGAGGTTTCACAGTATCCCTCAGTATCTCCATCTCCTCACCATTGGCCACTGGGATCTTTCCCCCATCCTCAACTGAATTTAAAGGAGGGTATATTTTCTCCCACTTGACCTGAGTGAAGAAGTTGTTAGTTACAACTCTGCCCATTGGGTTGTTTATTCATTTCCAGTGTGAGCCAGTAACATTAGCAAGAACTAGCAAAGGCCTACCAATATCCTAGGATTAAGTGGATTGAGGTGGAGAGAGGATAAAGGCCCATTAAAAATCAGCCCTGGGACATTCTCATGAAACTAGGAGTCTTAAATGCCTGATGAAAAGAGTAAGAGGTCAGAATATTCAGAATGGTAGACCAAATGGAAAATTGTAGAAAATTTATGACAGAAACAATGTAGTAGCCACTAGTCTAACGATGGGGACTGAGAAGGAGTGAAGATGGAAAGAAGTTGGAAGGACCTGGGTAGTGTTATTGTACCAGTCTGCATCTTAGTTTAGAAAAACAAAATGAGAACTTTAAAAGTTAACTCTATGTCCCTGTCCTCCCTGTCTCTTTTTTCTTTCTTCTCTCCCAAGCAGAAAAGACTCAAGATAAGGTACTGATAGTTTCTCACAGAAAGAGTTTTCTTTATACTAGCTACAACAATGGAGAGATAAAAAAAAATCCCAAGAAGAAAGGTTACTGTTGGTGAGGTTAGGAAGGCATCGAGATCCTCAACTTTTATCTTACTTTCACATTTCAATAGATAGATAGATAGATGGATAGATAGATAGATAGATAGATAGAAAGACAGATACACACACACACATATATATCCATATACATAGACAGATATACATACACAAAAATACTAATTTCTGAAGTCACAATGGGAATTGACACCAATTTGTCATTTAATCTTTACTAAGTTAAGGACATCTCTGTGACTTAATTGGTCAGTCTTCACTTGTATTCCTGAAGAGTCTTTACTGCCCATATAAAAGGTGGCATCAATCTATTTAAAGAGAATTACATAAGAAAGGAAATCATTTGGGAAAGGAAAAAAGGTTGAATCACCCCCATGTAATCCAAAAGCTACACATTTTCTTGTTGATGAGAAGCGTAACATCTGCTCATGATGTTACCCACCTTGACTTTTAGCCTTGGAGTTAATAACATCATTGTCAGTAAGCCTTTAGCAAGTGCACAGTAAAAGGCAAACTCCTTGAGGACAACAGCTCCTTCATTTTTGCCTTTGTATCTCCAGTACTTAGCACAGTACCTAGCACACAGTAGGCACTTAATAGCCACTTGGTGATGAATGAACATCTGCTATGTGAAGAGCACTGGGGCCATAACAAGGCAGGAGTAAGCCACTGTGGCAACTAATGATATATCCAAATCATCTGCTTGCATAATGAACTCTTTACCTATCACCATTTGGGGGTCCCAGATCTTCTAATTTGATAGTAGTGAGAAATCCCAGTTTATTCCTCTGTACTGAAAGCCACTATCTGTCTGAGCAAGAATTCAGTCAGTCCAAAGACATGCCTCCTATGTTATCCCTACAAGAGAACCTTGCTTCTTGCCAGTGGTCCTAGGGTCATCCCAGAGGAAATTATTCCCACTCTTTTAGTCCCTATGATGTCAGCCAAGGGGCTTAGCTCATGAAGCAAAGAGCTACAGTCTCCATTTATCCCTCACTTCCACCCTTGCCATGCCAGGATCCATGGTTTCCCCTCCTTTTTAACTTCATTTCCAGTGCCATCAAAGAGACTGCTTATTGCCTCTAAGCCATTATAATGCCAGGCTTTATTTATTTATTCATTCATTTAAGCTTAGTTCACAAGGCTGGGCACTGGTCACTAACTGATGTCTTATGACTTTTCTAGTGAATGATACTAATGTTCAGTTTTTGGACCAAGACGATGATGATGACCCAGATACGGAGCTGTATCTCACACAGCCATTTGCATGTGGGACAGCATTTGCTGTTAGTGTCCTGGACTCACTCATGAGTGCGGTAAGTAAGAAAATTCTGTCCCTTCCTCCGTATTTTGTGGGGAACCCCAGCCAGAAACCCTGATGCAGAGAAATGAAAGGAGAGAGGTTCTGAAAAAGCAGAAGGGAATCCTAAACTCTGTCAGGAGATTGAAGGGTGGACTAGTGATAGTTTGATGAAAAGAACACTGGATTGGGAATCATAGTAAGGGAGTACAGAACCCGGGACTGTTACTACTATCCTTTTGGTGCAATCATCTAAACTTACTGGGACTCAAATTCCCTGTAAAAGGGGGGAGATGGAGCAGAAGATGACCTTAGAAGTTCCTTCTAATTTGAAATTCATGATTCTTTTAAATGGTTTATTTCTTTTAGCACATCACAACATATTTCAGAATCAAGGTATTTGCTTTCTTACGGATGGGAGAACAATGGTTTCAATCTGGTCATATTGTAGATAGCTTGGAAACTTGGATTTTCCCTTTTTCTTAAACAAGGAAAGGATGTCAAAACAGACTAGAGTTATTATGAATTCTTTCCTTAGAATGAGAAAAAAGGTTCATTATACATCAAAACTTCATTTTTACTCAATTCTCAACAATTCACCAAAATAGGTCACAGAAGGACCTCTGCAAAACAAAACTTTTCAAACAAGTTCAATTTGCTCCCTGCATTAGAAAAAAAACAAACAAACAAACCCAGAGTGTAAAACAAAAATTTTAGTTTGAATTTTTCGTTCATTCTACCTATCTTTTCCCAAGGATAATAGATCAAAGGATTAGAGTTGAGAGGGACCTTAGAAGTCATTAAATTCAACTCTCATTTTACAGATGAAGAAACTGAGTCCCAGATACATTAAGTAAATTGTTCTGGGTCATGCAGCTAGTATTTGATGCAGGATTTGAACTTGGGGCTTCTTGACTTCATGTCCGACATTCAGTCCACCATGCCATTTCCCTGCCTTGATTTCCAAAGAGTGAGGTTTGTACCTCCCACTTCTCCCACCAGAGGACTCAAAAAAATATCTTGTTAGGTGGGGATAGATTGTTAGTGTTTCTTCTCCCAGACTTTTTATACGTCTATTTCTCTTGGAGACCTCTAAAACAAACAACACTGCATCCTGCTCTGCTGGCTTGCAGTGGGATCTCTTCCAGGAACAAAGTCAGAGAGCTCACCAGACCTAGCTCATGCACACCTGAAAAGGCCAAAAATAGTGAGGAAGGCTACAGAAACAGTACAAGATAAGCCCCATTAAATAGGCCTAATATATTGCACCTCTGGTTTAAAAGTGATTTCTGTAATTCATTCCTTTAGAAATCTCATTTTACCTCTGATCCTAATTAGAAAGATTTCAGAAGAACATTTATGTTATGGGAAGATTAAACTCTTTATAGGCGACCTACCTTTAGAGCTTTAAACCACACTATCAAAATTGAAAAGCAAAATTATAAAAGGAGATATTGCCTTTAGATATTCTCCTTCAGATTTTTTTTTTCAAATTACTCTGTCCCAAAGATGGAATGTAGGTGTTCAGTAACAGGGCCCTCTGACTTCTCATACAAGGGTTCATGGGAATGCGTGTAATGGTGTTTGTTGGTGCCATGTATGTGAGTGTATTTGTGTGTGTGTGTGTGTGCGTGCGTGCGTGTGTGTGTGTGTGTGTGTGTGTATGATAATAGTAATAAGTATGTAAGGATTTGAGCCAAATCACTCTCTTCATCATCAGAGGGAGTGAGGCTGCAAAGCGTCTTCCAAATTGGGCCGTTTGACTGGATATTTCCAAACTTACATGGCCAGAGACTTTGGAGGAGAATGGAACAAATACAAGTAAATATCACTGGTAGATGTATCAGTGCTTAAGTGCACATGATAAACCCATATCCATCTATTTAAAATGTATTCCATGATAGAGATATGGGCCAAACCCGTGATTTCATTGGCATAGGGAAATCCTGGGAGAGGAAACACTCTCTAACAATGCAGGTCAGCACCTTCTCTACCCCATGAGAAAGTTCTATGTAGAACAAGAGTTCTTAAGTTTTTTTAGGGTACCCATGGGCAAATATGGAGTCATTCTTAGAATAAGGTTTTTAAATACATAAGATACAATACATAGGATTACAGAGCAAATCAGTTATAATGACATTCAGTTATCAAAATATACAACAACATGGACCCCAGGCTAAGAACTTCTAATATAGGATCATAAATTTAGAGCTGGTAAGGGCCTTAGAGGCCATAAAATCCAACCCCCTCATTTTACACAGGAGGAAACTGAGGCACAAAAGATTAAGTGAATTGCCAAGGATTACACAGCTAGTGTCTGAGGTGGAATTGTGAAGCCAGGTCTTCCTGACTCCAAGTCCAGTGCCATATCTATGATGTGATACTTCCATGGCACATTTTCTATGGCCTCAGTTGGTAGGCATTTGCAGATATGATACGTTGAAAGCCCTTTTTTTCCTTCTTCTAGCATGAAAAAAAGGGAACCAAAATCCTTCAAGAGACTCTTTGGAAAAAAAGAATGTGTGTAAGTCTAATGCAAATAGGTCCAACTTGATTTGCCCAGTGCTAGCTAGTTTGTGTATTACCCAACAAAATACCGTCCAGATATTGTTTGAGGTAAGGTTCTCATTATTTGGAGTGCTAAAGTTCCAAAATGAGGTTTCAGAATTGTGCTTGGTTCAATTGGTAGCCAGGTTTCTCAAAACAAAACAAAACAAAAACAACATAACAGAAAAAAACATATCAGCTGTAAATTGTTCAATTCATTTTTTGGATTGTTAGGGTTTTTTCTTCTTCCTTTTCTTGATGATCAGACTGGGGTTTACTCAGAAGAGCTGTTGTAATTAAAAACAGTTAAGAAAGAAACGGAGGGAAATTATACAACATGAGTGAGAGCCTTCCACACAATGGGAACTGGAGAGCGAACATATTCCAGCTTAGGCAGCCTTTTACAAACAACATTGAAACACAATTCTATTTAGATGTCAGTGATCTCCTTTTTTTTTCTCACCCTCTTCTCCCAACTGCCATTTAATCAGGTGTCTAAACACTCACAGAATATTGTCCCTCATAATTCAACTCCTGCTGCTCACTGCCTCATTTGTGGAAGGAATAATCTTTCTATTCATCACAGCCATTTCCCGAGTAACAGATAGGGATGCTACGGATGCCGTGTCATGGTGCTGTGCAAATCAACACCACACATACCTCATGAGAGAAAGAATAATTACATTTATGCCTAGATAGCTCAGAAGAACATCACAATTTGGAAATACATTCTTCAAGCTGAAGTCAGGGTACTGTTCACAGGGCAAGTGTAAGGAAGTTTATAGTAATTGGGACCAGACAACATGGCAGCATATTGTCCCTCCTTCCCACTGAGGCCTTTTGCTGGTCCTTAAGGTTATGTTGACCCATAGTTCACCTGTATTTCTGGAAAAAGTGACTGAAGGAGCAGAGTCTGCCCTTGGATTCTATCCTCCAGTATTTCCAAATGTCCAATCCTTTTTCACATAAGCTCTGACTTTTGTCATAACCAATGTGGGGGAGCAATACTGGCCCCCCTTCCTCCTTCCAATACTGGCAATAGCATCCAATGTGCCTAGATCCCATTTGTCACTGGTCATCATTTGATCTCTGAAACCCAATTCTCACCAAATTATTGACCTAAATAACCAATCTAGGTTCCCTCATTGTAGTGGTGAAGAAAATAATAACAATAAACAAACATTATTCTCTTACAGAATCAATAGCTTGATATCATGTACTCCAGTCAATAACTGACATTTATGCAGTGATTTGAAATTCATGAAATATTTTATATACATCATGTCATATGAACCTCAAAATAACCATGCAATATAAACTATAACATTTATCATTACCCCCATTTTATAGATGCAGAAACTGAGACTCAGAGAGGTTAAGACATTTGCTTATGATCATACCTGATGTCCATTACATAATGCTACCTCCCCATTTCTAGAATGATGCCTACAAGTGTGATAAAACAAATTCCAGACCTAGAGTTAGGAGACCTGGGTTCAAATCCAAGCCCCAACACTTTCAAGCTGTTAGCTTGGGCAAGTAGCTTAACCTTCATCTCTCTGAGACCTAGTTTTCTCAGCTGTAAAATGAGGGATTTGCATTAGGTAACCTACAAATTATCTTTAAGTTCTAAATCTATGATTCTATTATCCTATAATTCTAAACCTCAGTTTTCTTCTCTGTGAAATGGGGATAATTAGCAACACTGAATCTTCCTCACAAGATTGCAATACACAAAGAGATCATCATGAACCTTGTACACTTGAAAGTACTTTGAGAATAAAAAGTTATTATATATGATATAATGTTTAATATATAATTTTCATATATATTTTCAACATATATAATTTTCATATAATTTTCAACATCATCACATTGAATTGGCCTTTGTACTGTCAGATGCTCCAATTTAGTTAAGTATTGTAAAATGGGACATTTTTATTTATTAATTAATATGTGCTTTTGTCCTAAGGGTAAAAAAAGAAGCAATATTTGTGGCCTTCAGAGGAATCTGCAAAAAGTGAGGCTCAGAAGACTCAGAGCCAATATAGATGTCCCAAAAATCTTCTTGCCATTTAAAACTTTTTAAAAAAAATTATACCCTGGAGAGTTCCCTCTTTATGTGCTCTGGTCCTTTCCTAGCCACAGATCTGTAGTGCTCTGGACATTAATTGCCCAGACTGAATGATCAAGACTGCACATTGTTCAGGGAAGAAACAAACAGCATTCACATACAGTTAATACTCCTAGACATTAACACTAATGAGCTTGAGTTTATGAATATGTGAATGTGTGTATGTGTGTATTTAATGAAGTTCATTTTTACAGCTGGACTAAACTGGAACCCTGCCCCCTTCTCAAAAAACAAACAAACCAAAAAAGATGCGGATTGAGCCAATCTCTAGAATATGGTACATTAGAATAGGGAAGTTTCCCTTTATGGAAGAACTATGGTTATCTTGTTCTCTA